ACTTAAGTACATTAATCAAGTGAATGTATCGAGTGAGTGTAAAATTATGGAATAATTCAATGGTTTGGGACAAAGTTCAAATTTTGATCTAAAGTTCTTTAAGCTACATGAAGTTTTATTATTTTATGGGTCAGACAACATAAGTATAGTTCATCTCTCAGCTCCTTTAATTTATACGGCGTTGGTACTTTTAACTCACAGTTTTATCGTTTTTGAGAAGGGTCGACCCTTTCCTGGACCACAGAACAGACCACTGACCATTGACCAAACTACTAGGACTGAAACGTGACATACTTAAAGTTACCTACAAGAACTGTTTTTTTACTGAGTTTTTTACAGACCAAAGTGCTTGGAGACACTCATGGAGTACCATCTCAGCCATCCCTCAGCAAGAGAAGGTGTTGCTCAAAGTCATCAAAAGAAATTGGTCAGAGCTCATCTGAGTTCATCTTACCTCATCAGGAAGGAACCAAGAAAAGCTACAACAAAGCAAATTAGAACATTGGGCAGAATAATCCCGTCTTGTCTGCTAATTTACACACAGGCAGTCTACCTTAGTCTGGTGTTGAAGACCAGCTGCTCCGGAGACAACGCTCAAAATGTCGGCTTTACAAGGGACCAACATCAGCAGAAAGATGAAGACACCCACCAGAAGATGTGTGATCTTTTAGCGTTTTGGTAATTTATTTATCTATAAAACATGATTGTTAAAGGATAATGTGTTTTATCTTAATGAAAGATTAACATCTTTTGTCTGTTTGATATTAGTTTCCGAATACAAAAGAAGATACAAGTATCAGAAGGCCACCTGATGGCTGAAAGTAAGTATTGAAAGAGATTATAAACTTAAAGTTTTAACTCAAGCAAAAGTGAAAAAGTACCTTTTTTAAAACTACTTAAATTTTAAAAGTGAAAGTAATGCAGGAAAAAATGTTAAGAACAGATGTTTTGAACCTCATACTGGTTACTGCTCTACCGTATTAAATGAAAAGTTTTCCACAATCCTGGATAAAAGCTTCTTTATACTTCCTTTTCTTAGTTTTATAACTAATGGCAACAGCATAAAAGTTAACTTTGCATCATCTTGAAAAACTATTTATTTTGGTATGTGACGAACAACAGGTTGGTGCAGTACCGAGTCCAACCACTAAGACATTAACTCTCTGGATGAAACAAATTATTTGGTTGTTTTTTTTGTTTTGTTTTTTGTTTTTTTATACCAACAGGCCATAATAAAAATTAGCTTAAATAAAAAAAGAAACAAAAAAAGTCTATTTTTTAAATGTCTGGATCTGCTGAAGGTTTCTCCCTGTTAAAAGGAAGTTTTTCCTCTCCACTGTCGCTACAAGCATGCTTGGTGTGAGGGATTGCCTTCCAGTCAATGACTTGATGCAATCAACTGGTTTTCCTTAGATAGAAAACTAATCCGGTTAAAGTGTAAAGCGCCCTGAGATGATGTATGTTGTAAATTGGCACTATACAAATAAATTGAATTGAAATTGAATAGAATTTAACATAAGAAGTAGAAAGTAGAAATTAATGAAAAAAAATGTAAGGAGTAGAAGTACAAAATTGTCTAAAAACATAATTACTCCAGTAAAGTATAGAAAGTCAGAATTTCTAATTAAGTAAGGTAACAAAGTATTTGTTCTTTGTTACCTGACACCTCTGCATTTAAAGCTACAGTGTGTAATTTTCAGCGACATCTAGCGGTCAGACTGCAGACTGCAGCAACATGAACATCTCCCCCCACCGCTTCTCCCCCCCAACAGTACGGCAAGCGTTACGGGACACAATGTCTTCCACGACGTCCGCATCACCTACCTT